TACTTCTTCCCTTTTCGCTTCCAAGGCAAAAATTCCAGCTCGGCTTTCTGGAATTCTGCATTACAAGACAACTTTTGTTGTACAATTACTGTGCTTCATGCATTAGCCTGTCTTTGTTATTTAATGCTTTGCTTCTCTCAAGCAGGTTTTAGGCCTGAAGTTTCTGGCTTATATCTGATGAGTGGTGGAAATGAAAAAATCGACGGAAGAAGTGGCGGAGCAAAAAATGCATTTTCTCAAAAATAAATTCTCGCTGAGTATGAATTATTGTTGAGCGGAGGAGCTGGCTTGAAGAACTTATCTGGGACGATAAGTTTGAGATGTTTTAGTGTGGCAAGGGTCTTCTAACGAACATGTGCGGCAGAAGCTCAGCGAAAGCAGATATAATACCCGTGGACATTGTCTCGAATCTTATGATTGTGGCTGCAGCACAAAGAGCCTATGCAGAGTAAGATTTATTCTGGTGTATAAACCTGGTGCTAATGTGAAAATTTGTCATGCTCACGAATTATATGCATTTCCACATGATATCTAGGGCATTTCAACGGTGCAACTGCATACCGTTCCGTTCGCAGCTCAGCGTAGCTTATTAGTGGATTGGCAGAATGGTTCTGCTGGGCACGAGAAGACGTAGGGACTTTTATGAAAATGGGCTGGTGTATCCGAAAATCATCTGTCGATTTCGCCCGTTTCAAATCCACCTCGCCTACACGGCTGGATGCGGGTAAAATCTTCAAGATTTTTCAAGTCCGTTCCTCAGTCGTGGCTAACAACGATGATGTAATTGGAGAGTTTTGAGCTACCTTCCAAATGGAGAGTTTTTAAGAGTTCTGAGCTAACTTTCACCCCGAATGTACTTCCAAATGATGGGCGATTTTAATGGTAACAATTGCAGCGGCAAGTAGACTTTCCGTCTTAGCACTGAGTCTCAGAAGAACGTGGAATGCTGAACGAAGAGCGTAAGTTGTACTAAACGCATGAGTCATTTTCATCCTCGGTGGCATTGCTGTAATATCCTCAGTACTGGAAGCACTGAGCGCGTGTTTTGAGACAGGGACGTCACGGATCTTGAGGGAAAGGTACTATTTGCGACAGGTCAGCATTAGAGGAAGACCGATAGTGAGGCGATGAAACGGTAGCAAGGGAAATCAGCAACATTACGAGAGCAGAAATTGATAAGACTGACAGCTGTTTTTGAGTGTTTTCGTGCACGAAACAAG